TTCCTGCTGCTGGGCATTGCGGATGGTTTCCACAGAAACCTCCACTGTCAGGGTTCGGCCCATCAGACGATTAGCAGTCAGATTAAGTTCTTCTCTCTCGCCTAGACCGAAAACAAGAAAGTATTCTGGGTTACAGGTGAACACTTTCCTGTGCGAGTAACATCATCAAGACATCCAACTGCTACAAATTCACACTAACCAGCTTGGTTTTTCTGAAACTGAGTGACAATCAACAAGCTTTCCAGGGGCCAGAAATGAGGGTTTTTTCGCATTTGCCCAAGTCCTAGCAATTTCGCAGAAGCTAGCGTCTTCTGCTTTTAAGTGAGGCATTAAGCTCTACTAAAAACCTAAGCAATGCTTTTCCGCTGCTGCCACAATGCTTGCTGTGCACAGCAAAGCCAAGCATACGATATTATCGGGAAGCATTACTCATTAACGGGACAGGCACGTCCAGGACCTTCCGTGCCACTGCGAGGGAGAGATTTAGGCAGTACCCCAGGAGGCTGCAGAGAGAAAACCTCATTGCTGACTACCAGATGCAGTTGGGGGCTATGAAAATAACTGGTTTTCTATTTTCTGAAAACTTAGGTTTTTCCTAAAATATGGACATTTGACATGTAGGCTCTTGAAGAGCCAATAAACCAGCAATTCAAAGCACCTAGTATGAAAAATACAGAGTTAGGGAATATATTTAAAGCCGTATGTTACACAACCACGACCGATCTTAATCCCCAGGTTCCTGCAGGCCGTACGCTTCGTAGTGCTCCTGCCTGTCTGGTAGTCAAAGCCAATAAAACGCCGGTTTTTCAGCTATATTTAATCATCGTCATTATCAACTTCTCTGAGGCACCGGGGGTCGGCTGGGAGGGTACAGCAAAGCAGCGTCTCACCTTCACTGATGTGCCTCATGTCCTGGCTGTTCTGTATATTGTGGATCATTTCTAGCAGGATTTCTTTCTCTTGTTCCATGGCAGACGCCGCGTCACGGAAAGCCTCTACCCTAAACGTGGCGGAACCAAACAAAGTGTTTAAAGAACAAAATAGCCGTTCACCTACACAGCTGCCAAGAACAGCTTTTTTAAACTTCAGCTTAAGAAGTACAGTCCTCAATTATCCGTGAGCCAGACTCTCCGATTTCAAGACCTTCTCCCGTATCTTAACTTCACTTTTCAAGACTCAATATAATTTTGAAAAAAAAAACGGGGAAAAAAAAAAACAAAACAGCAGTGATTCGATCAGACTTAAATCTTTTATTGTACTGGCAGCGCTGTTCTATCCTACTCTGCAGTTAGTCTGGCTATCCAGAGCCTGACGGTACTACAGCCCCGCAGCAGAAGTCCTGCAGCTAATTGGCAATTATTATCAGCTGCTTAACGAGAAGAGAAAGGGACTGAGTCCCCATCGGGGAACCCCGGGGGTGAAGGCTGCAGCTGCGGGGCTGGAAGCAGAAAGGGGCTCTGGGTCTCCCACCGCCCCCAGGCCAGCAGCGCAGAACCCACCCACAGAGCAACGAACGCTCTGGAGAACTCCAACGCCGCCTTGTAGCCGAGAGACCCCTTTCCCGAGGGAGAGAGAGAGGGACAAAGCTCACGTGCTTTTATCAACGTCACAAGGGCTTCTTCCCCCGGGGTGCTGTGCCTTGGGCCGCCTGCCCTCACGGTTGCTGGTGTTTCCCACGGAGCGACGCTCGCTGTGAGTCACACAGCGAAGGAGCAAGCGTCTGCGGGAGCAGCTCCTATTTCTGGGCTTCCACGGAAGCAGGAAACTTGGTCCCTCTTAAAACAGGTCCCCTTCTCCCATCCAGTTCCCTGTGCTGAAACTCGCACGGTGGGGGTGAGGGGAAAACCCGTCAGAAACTGCTCTCGCTGGTTAACTCAGCATGCTGCGTGGCTGCGTGCCCGCCGGCTGCCCTCCTCCTCGTGGCGCAAGGTACAGGCCCACCGGGTGATGTGACAACGCCGCGCTAGAAATCCGAGCCTAGATCCTGAATTCACCTCTTACTCCCTGCCACGGCTTTAGGGAGAGGGCTTTTGCATCCAGCTGAGTCATCTACAGGCTGCCCAGGGAGGTGGTGGTGTCACCATCCCTGGAGGTGTTCAAAATGCGCGTAGACGTGGCGCTTCAGGACATAGCTGAGCAGGCGTGGTGGGGTTGGGTTGATAGTTGGACCTGATTATCTTAGAGGTCTTTTCCAACCTTCGTGATTCTATGCTCTGGGAACTGTCCACTTTGGAGACTGGGGACAAGAGGGAAATGTCCCCCTCCCCTGGCTTTGCCCTGGAGACCTGAGGGTAGGGGCTCACAGGGGGCTTGCGAAGCTGCAACTGGCTGCAAGACTTGTGCCAAAAAATGTCAATTCTGCATTCCCAGACCCCACAGAAAAGCAAAATATCCCATGAACCTGGCTGCTGGGTGCCTTCACCGCACAGCTCGGGAGGTCTAGCTGCTGTAAGCAGCGCGGGAATTCATCATCCCAAAATGTTTATTAAACCTGGCCAGAAAAGGGGAAACAAACCAAAACACTGTTAAGTCTCTGAGACACTCTGTGCTCTTCAACATTACTGGACACAGCCCCAAGATGGTGCTGCCTCATCACCACTGCCTCTATCGATAAGGGCTTATCTGCTGAGATGGGTACTGGGTGCTGCTCAGTCCTCCGAGGCTGGCTGAGGGCAGGTAACCTCGGAAGAACAGCAGGAAGAGAAAAGAGAACGACAAAAGGCAGAACGGGAGCATTTGAGGATATAAATAGTCACAATTCACATGCAGTCTGCTGACTAAATGCTTCTGTTTCACAAAACACTTCGCCTAATTTAGCCAGTGAAAGCACCAGCTCTGGGCCTTGCCTTTCATGTTCCTTCTGAGGAGGAGTGGGAGAAGTTAATGCAATGCAAATTCTTGCCGAGAGCAAATACTTTTAATTATTATTTTGGACTGGTTAGTAAAAGCAGGGAGGCAGGTGGAGTCATTTCATACTTCAGATGTCTGCACTTTATAATTCAGGAAGTCTAGCAATATTTTCATAACTGCCTTGCTGTGCCTTTTTAGAAAAACTAGTATTTTCACGGTTTAAAAAATGCAGCGTGGTCCCCGGAAAGCTTAGCGTTAAAATCTGGAAGTGCAGAATTTCAACTTTAATGGTATTTTTACATCAGATTCGGTGTATCACTCTACTGACTTGAAAACTAAAGGTCTGCCTTCAGCAGGTGGATCAGCCCCTGATTTCCATAGGCTTTGCTGGGTCCTATGAAGAATGTGGAAAAACTGCATTGCAGAGCCGCATCCTGAACCGGTGCCATTCTACAGAGAGTGCCTGAAACACCACTGCTTCCAAAAGCCAGCTCCTGCTATGCCAGATTGGACCTAAAAGCCGAATTATCGGAATTAATGATCATATACTGAAAAAAACCCCCCACCACTCACCAATCAGAGCTTTGACTGACATTATTTTACAGAAATTTATACGACCTAATCTTGAGAACTATTTTATTTGCAGTAATTGCTTCCTGGGAATTATTTTAACCACTTTTTCGACGGCCGTGCAGAGCGCCACACAACTAAAATCCCCCGGGATTTTAATTTTAGTGTGTTTGCTTCCGTGAGTGGCAGGCAAGCGAGCGCATAACAACCCCGGGACCCTGTAACCGCA